TACCAAATGGATGTCAAGAATGCTTTTATCCATGACTCTTTATCTGAGACAGTATATATGCAACCGCCTCCAGGGTCCAATATTCCTCCGGGGGCACGTATGTCTCCTTCGTCGTACTGTTTATGGTCTCAAGCAGGTAACCCGCACTTGGTTTGAGTGTTTCGTGATGTCGTACTCAAGGCGGGCTTTATGGAGAGTCATCAAGGTGCTTCTCTGTTTGTTCACACTACATCGCGTGGCAGAGTTTTATTACTCATTTATGTAGATGATATAATCATTACAGGTGATGATGTTGCTGATATACAGTTCATAAAATCTCAATTACAACAACAGTTCCACATGAAGAATCTTGGATCTCTTCACTTTTTTTTAGTCTAGAAATTTCTCAGGGCCCACAAGGTGTACTACTGTCTCAACAGAAGTATCTCTCAGATATTCCAGATCGCGTTGAGCTAACTGTCGATGCTCTACTCTAACAAAATGTCAAACTTCGCTCTACTGATGGTGAGCCTCTATCTGATCCTACCCGATACCGACATCTTATTGGCGACCGGATCTTTGTAATCCAAGATGACAATCATATCAATGAAAAAGAAAACAGTTTTCCACGCGAACACTCACGAACATGATAAGTTATCTCCCAGAGCTGTTTCTTGTGTCTATTTAGGAATTAGTTCGGAACATCGAGGTTATCATTGTTATGATCCCGTAACTCATCGAGGTCATATATCTCGTCATGTTTAGTTCGAAGAGGATTCTCCATATTATTCTGCTTCTTATGACTTCAATTTCCTCCACTCTACTGATCATGCTTCACCGTCAGCTGCATTACCCACTTCTTCGCCACAATTTTCCTTTCGAGATCTCCCTGACATCTCTCCATCTCCTTCTGTTGACTCTTCCTCACCTGAACCTTCTCGTACACTATCTGATCCCTATACCGTGGACATGACACTCACTCCAGAAAATACTGTTGATCTCCACACACCTGCCCCAACATCTCCCCCGCCTAAGGTTCCTCTTGCTCTTCGTCGAGGCAAATGCCCACATGTCATGCCTGCCTGGTATGATTCGGTTACTTCATATTCACCTCTCTTTCATAACCTTCTTGCTGCCATTCATACTACTGTTGAGCCAAAGTCCTTTCAAGAGGCAGTTTAATTTTCAGAGTGGCGACAAGCTATGACTGAGGAATTTTAGGCCTTTAAGCAAACACATACCTAAGATGTTGTTCCTTGTCCCCCTGGGATCTCTCTTGTTGGTAGTAAATGGATTTATAAGGTCAAGTATCATCCTGATGGCACCATTGAACGTCGAAAAGCTCGTTTAGTGGCTCGAGGATTTACTCAGCAACAAAGTATTGATTATGAGGAGATATTTCCTCCTGTTGCTCAGATGCCCACCGTTTGTACTCTACTTGCGGTTGCTGCTGCTCATCGTTGGCCCTGATACCAAATGGATGTCAAGAATGCTTTTATCCATGACTCTTTATCTGAGACAGTATATATGCAACCGCCTCCAGGGTCCAATATTCCTCCGGGGGCACGTATGTCTCCTTCGTCGTACTGTTTATGGTCTCAAGCAGGTAACCCGCACTTGGTTTGAGTGTTTCGTGATGTCGTACTCAAGGCGGGCTTTATGGAGAGTCATCAAGGTGCTTCTCTGTTTGTTCACACTACATCGCGTGGCAGAGTTTTATTACTCATTTATGTAGATGATATAATCATTACAGGTGATGATGTTGCTGATATACAGTTCATAAAATCTCAATTACAACAACAGTTCCACATGAAGAATCTTGGATCTCTTCACTTTTTTTTAGTCTAGAAATTTCTCAGGGCCCACAAGGTGTACTACTGTCTCAACAGAAGTATCTCTCAGATATTCCAGATCGCGTTGAGCTAACTGTCGATGCTCTACTCTAACAAAATGTCAAACTTCGCTCTACTGATGGTGAGCCTCTATCTGATCCTACCCGATACCGACATCTTATTGGCCAGTTGGTCTATCTGTGCATCACTCGGTCAGATATCTCTCATGCTGTTGGCATTATCAGTCAATTTGTTAGCGCCCCAGATTCTGCTCACTATGCTGTCTTATTACGGATTCTTCGGTATCTCCGAGATATTAGCACTCGTTCTCTTCTGTTTCTTGTTACATTCAAGTTAGAGTTTGGTGCATATTCTGATGCTGATTGGGCTGGTGATCCCACTATCAGGAAGTCTACCGCATGTTATTGTATATTTCTTGGTGATTCCCTTATTTCCTGACAGAGTAAGAAATAAGATGTTATTGCTCTTTCCAGAACCGAGACAGAGTATCATGCAATGTCCACAACAGCTAAAGAGATTATTCATCTTCGTCGTCTTCTCATTGATTTCGGTATTATTGTTACGACTCCTACTCCTCTCTATTGTGATAATAAGAGTGCCATCCAGATTGCTAATAATCTAGTATTTCATGAGAGGACCAAACATATTGAGATTGACGCTCATTTTGTCCGTTAACAAGTTATCAAGTACAAGACAATTCTACTTCTTCATGTCTCATCCGCTGAAAGCTTGTAGATTTCTTCACAAAGACCTTACCCGTTCATCGATTCTAGTTTCTTGTACGCAAACTCACTTTTTTTGATCCAACATGAGTTTAAGGGGGACCGTTGATAATATTGTGTTAGTAGTGGGTTTAGTCCCACCTTGGTTATGAGAACAAACCTCACCCTCCTCTACTTGTATATATATATGTACACACCCAATATTCAATTCAAGGGAAATTTACTCAAGACTCTCCCTCTCTTACTTTAACACCCTGGACTTATTATTATCAAGAAACACATCCTCCACATATTGAGACAAACAATACAAGTTGATCACTGAAATGTCTTCGAGAGAATAACACATTCTAGGCTTATTACACGAACAAAGAAATGAACTCAGAACTTCTTGATGAAGTCAAGTATGTGCTCGGTCACTTCATGCGCCTTCTCTTGATTGATCCAGTGGCTGACTCCGGGCATTACTACTACTTCCTCGAGGAGCGGAACGGACTTCTTGAAACCACCTTTGTGTATGTAGTCTTGGATTCCTGGGTAGTGATAAGTCAGGTCCATGTCTCCTACGATGAACTTTGTCGGTACTTTGATCTGGCATCCTTGCCATGGCTCTGTTAACTCCCAGTTCCTACACCAACAGGATCGAATTAAAGGACAAAGCTGTCACTTTCTGCGTAAAAATACAAGTAGAAAGAGGCGATACCTAAAGAAAAAGGATAAAAAGTAGAAAATAGGGGGAAAATGAGATGTGGTAATTTCAATGCATTTTAATACTGGTCACAAAAACTAAATAGAAGATTGCACGTTACACATGCAAACTCTCTGTAAACAAAACTATATTTCACATAACTCCCAAATAGTTTTGCCCATTTTGGCATAGCGTGCAAAACATTTGAAAATGTCACATAACACCACAAAGTTATCAGTATAATACCGCAATTTGACACAACTTTTGGTGTTATGTGACATTTTTAAAAGTTTTTTGATATCATCTCAAAATGCAAGAAAGTTGGTCGTGTGAAATTTACTGTAAACTTAATACATGCACGTATAGAGAAGTTCATTGTGTCTTTTTAGGGGCCAAAAATGCCTCAGCCATATTGTTATGAAAGTGAAAAAGAAAAATAATAGCTTGATACCAAGTGGCTACAAGAATGCCATGTTACACTTTCCTGCCAAAATGAATGAGTTAAGAATCGCAATTTTAGCAGAATTGTAAATGGCTTGCTTCTATAACTCTAATGGGGTCTGAAATAAAAGAATTTGATCTCGCTAAAAACTGTAAGTTTGGCGCCACTCTTGTTACGGTAGTGGGCTTCTCAAACAAGGAAGATTTCTATACAAAGTAAAAAGATAATAGAACGGAATAGACATAATAGAGAGGGGAAAATCAACACACAAGAATTTAATGTGGTTCAGTTAGTAACCTAAATTACATCCACAAGCGAAAACATCTTGAGGGTTTCACTAGTCAAAGAAAAGGTTACGATCAAAGAGAGATTCCCTAATCTCACTCGTACCCTTACCTCAGATTGCTCTTCCACCTTTCACATGCTTCTTCCACTCTTTTCATCAATACCCTAACGCTCCTTACATAATGAACTCAATCCTAAAGTGATTTAGACAAGTCGTAGTTAGGTGTTATAGTGGAGCTAATGGGCTGGTGGAGTAGTTCTCTGACCTAAAATTATCACAGGGCAAGTGTGATAAGAGGAGAAGACTAAATTTGAATTGCACACGATCAACACATGCATGTCACTTAGCACTTTGTAAAGTAGAAAGGTATGGGATCTTACAAATCCAGATTCCTGTAGTAGTTGATTGGTTTGGCAAATCCAGTCTTCTCATATTTGCTTGAAAAATAGTTGATGTCTTCTTCCGAGAGCCACGAAGGCAGCGCGATTTCATCATTTGGTGAACCCAAACCGCGCCCCTCTCGTATGAAGAATGGCCTTGGATCCCGTGAGCTCAATAATTTCTTGTGAACTGATTTAATATCATACTGACCAAATTCCGCCTCAGCAACTCCAGGTTTCTATCATACCATTATGAAATTCTCATTTAGACAATAAAGTTCAGAAAAACGTGCGCAGAATTAACACAAGTAGGATTAACGTAACATCAAGCCGATTATCCACGACAATTTCATTCGCAAAAGATTAAATGCACCAGTATACTCAATCAAAACCTGGAATTTGCAGATGTAGTAATCATCTCCATAAATAGACTTAAAGTAGTCGACGGGCTTCTTGGCAGGGTTCCGAGGATTAAATGCTACACTGAGGTTCACAAGTGCCTTCACCCTGTCTGGCCTGAACATGCACAAACTCCACGCCACCAGCGCACCCCAGTCATGCCCCACCACAAACACCTGCAAGAATAGGACAAGGATGTCAATAAAATTGACACTTCAAATATACAAAGAGGTAAGAAATTTAAACAAAGACATCCTTTGTTTAAACTTTAAAGGGGCGAATAGTGTTGAGTTTAGTGTTGAGTTTAGAGGGGTGGTGGACCCTAAAAATATTTTATTATTATTTTTTTAGTGGTACAACACTCAATACTTTATCTAATGCAAACTCTCTCTCTACTACAAAATACTACACTCTTTTACAAATACTCACTATTTATTTTTCTCTTTCTTTATCTCTCTTTATTTTTCTCTTGCTACTGCGATGATATCCACCGAAGGTTTTGTGGGCTTATTTATAGCCTTGGTTTTGTGGTTGGTAAGTACTATAGATGGGTAGGTGGTGAATGTTGGTTACTATAGAAATGGTGGCTAGGGTAGGGGTAGCTAGCTAGGTGATGATTTTCACACTCTCCCTCATCACCAACTTCTCCATTCACGAGTCCAGGCGAAATTCTAAATTCTTCTTGAATGCTTGAATTTCTTCTTTCACAAATTGTCTTCATAATCATTCTCGGATAGCTCCTTCACATTTTCTATTACAACAACATTAGCATACTTGGGATTTGGTTTCCTAGGTCTAGTCAATCTTCGAGCTTCTCTTGTTTGTTCTTCACTTATATCTTCTATCTTACTTGGGTGCTCCTTTTCTTGTGTTATCTGATGAACATTAGTCTTCTATGGATTCTTCTGCTTTGGAGATGTGTGAGAACTTGGTTCTATCTTCTCTAATTGTTGTAATTCTTCTTCTTGACTTGGCTCTCCCAGCTTCTTCTGTAACTGATCCTCTAGATTATTGGAGTCTGGGAGCATAACTTTTGTGGAGTCCATTAAGACAAGGCTTCGTCGAACACTATATTTCTTGATATGTAGCATTGTCCAATTGTGGGATCACAACATCTCTATCCTTTTCTTTCACTATCATACCCCACAAAAATACATCTTACAACCTTTTTGTCAAACTTGCTGCGTAAGTAATCAAATACAAAGACATAACATACACAACAAAAAACTCTGAAATAGCTTACGATTGGATTGATATTCCACAACTTTTAGAATGGTGACATGAACTCCAATTTTAGTTGTGATAACCGATGGATCACGTGCATCATAGTTTTCACGCACTCAACCCAAAAACATCCTGGCACGTTCTTGTTATGAACCATAATTCGACATATCTCTGCAAGTCGAAGATTCTTCCTTTAAATAACCCCATTTTGTGCGGAGTATATGGACACATTAGCTGTCGATGAATCTTATGTTGCTTCAGATAGTCATAGAACTCCTTTGATGTGTACCCTCCTCTGTTGTCTGTGCATAAGCAACGAATCCTCTTCTCGAGTTCTCCTCGGAATTGCTTAAATTTGGATAGTGCATCAGATTTTTCCTTTAGGAAATACACCCAAACATATCTCGAGTAATCATCGAATAAAAGTGATCATGTACTGCATCCCACCGATTGATTCTTACTTCAATCGACCAAATACATCTGAGTGTATAAGCTTCAAAGATTCCTTGGCTCTAAACTGTGACTCCTAATACGGTAATTGATGCGTCTTTCCGTATTGACAACCTCCACTTATGATCGATTCCTCCTCGAATATCCAAGTGTGTAACCCTTCAACATTGACTTCTCCATCATGGTCTTGAGCTTGTGATAGCTCACATGGCCAAGTTGAGCATGCCATAAATCAGTCGTCTCATTCTTCCAAGTTTTATCTATGTATGTCGATTCTGCCAATATTACATAAATAGATTCAACTCTTCGTCCCACCATAACAGGTGCTCCTGGTAGCTTCAAGTTTTGATAGACTTTTACATCTTGCGGCTTAATTACTACATAGTTTTCAGAAGTTATCAATTAAAAAACAGATAGAATGTTTTTTTCATACCCGGTACATGGTATACATCTTGTAGTTTTATCTAGTTCGGGTTGTAGCACAGTGTGAACACACTCTTTTCAATGTGTATTATAAGAAATCTTGAATTATTAGCTATTACAACTTCTAGACCACCTTTATACTCCTTCATATTTACAGGCTTCACCTTGTCTCCTATCATGTGATTGGAACAGCCAGAATCGACGATCCAATCTTTATGTAGCTAAATTATTCTCGATCTGAAACCGTTGTAAGTGCGGACTCAAATCCCTCCACAATCAAGGTTAGTGCAATATCAACGACCTCTTCTTCGTCAACTGATACATCTTCAATGATGGCCACGGATGCTTGGGCATCCTATTCTTCTTCATCATCTTAACATGTGCACAATGTTATAACATTGCCCTCTGCAGATCTTCTCTTACAACGACAATCTCTAGCGAAATGTCCTTTCTTCCCACAGTTGTAGTAGCTACCATCAGGTCGTCTTGCTTGACGATCACCTTGCTCTTCACGCTGTTGTGTTCTGCCGGTGTATAGCCGTCCTAGCTGCTTCCTTGAGCCAACCTTTCTATATTCCTCTTTGCTTGTGCCTCTTGGTTTGCCTCTCTCCTTGCTGCTAAAGAGTGCTTCATCTTTATTTTTTATTGAAATGTCGATAATTTGTTTGGCTAGGGTTTCCTATGTAGCGAGAAAACTCTCCAACTTTAATAATATTGATTGAGTCAGCCAACCGTGTGTAGCAGCAACGAGCCATGGTACTCTGATATTAAACCATGAATGATTATTCTTCGTATCCTTACATCCGATACTCTAGAGCCAAGATCTAACTGAGCAATATCTGAACAGAATAATTTTACTTACTTGAAGTACTGACTAATTCTTAAGTTCTACTGTTGCAAGGTCATCAGTTGATTCTTAACGAACTGAAGTCAAGCGTCGTTCTTCTTTGAGAAAAGTGTGGCGAGCGTATCCCATGCCTCCTTCGAATTTCTAGCATCTCGCATATAGTCTACGAGATCTTCTTCTACTATCGTCTCCAGCACATACATAGTCTTGTCAGCTTTGATGTTCCACTTCCTTAGTACTTCGCCAGCTTCCTGAGGTGCTATAGTTTCAGCACCCCCGATGACCTCCCACATGTCTTGTTCTTGCAAATAGGACTTCATACAAGTCATATAGTAGTTGTAGTTGTTACCATTTTCTTAAGTGTAATAATAGTACTTGCCAGATCTGCTATTGTGACGTGGTACTGCTTCAGTATCTTCATGCAAGTCTGGTCCCTGACCAACTAATTTCATAGTATTAGACTGAGCACGAACTTCGAATGTCAATAACACCGATAGGATCACAGTAGGAGAGAGCCGGTCTCTGACTGCCTACTCTGATACCACTCGTTGAGTTTAGAGGAGTGGTGGACACTAAATTTTTTTAATTGTTATTTCTATAGTGGTACAATACTCAATACTTTCTTTAATATAAACACTCTCTCTATTACAAACAACTACACTCTTTTACAAATACTCACTATTTATTTTTCTCTTTCTTTATTTCTCTCTTTATTTTCTTCTTGCTAATGGATGATATCCACCGAAGGCTTTGGGGGGTTATTTATAGCCTTAGTTTTGTGGTTAGTAAGTACTATAGATGGGCAGGTGGTTACTATTGGTTACTATAGAAATGGTGGATAGGGTAGGTAGCTCGGTGATGATTTTTACACGAATAGACCCCAAATAGATCCTAAGAGTGCCGTTGTTCTGAACTTACTACTTCTCTAGTTTTATTTTGCAGATAGACCCCAAGTGAAATTTTCTAACTCTTTTATTCTCAAGGGGTCTATTTGATAAAAAAAATAGTTTTATCTTTCTCTGAGGGTAAAAGAGTCAAGAAAATTTTCATTACTAGGGTTTATCTGCAAAAATAAAACCGTAGAGATAGTCAGTTCAAGCCAGTGATGTGACGGGGTTTTATCCGCTACTAACCCCTGTTTAAAAGATGTTGGTACTTTCAATAATGAGCATAAACTGTGCAAGGTGTACAAGATTAGCTAATATAATCTTGAATCGTGAATATTGATGCACTCAACCAACAGTATTGAAGACAAAATAGCAGCCAAGTCGTAGCTTGTAGATAGCTTTCATGATGATCCGTATGCTACAAAACTTCGTTGTATCCTTTGATTGTCAGTAACTTACATAAGACAATTCAAGTATTAAATTTTGGTTCAACAAGAATTTGCAACCACTGCTTGACGTGTGGAACCCGTGTGCAGTTAAAGTAAATATATTGTTTGGGATCATTCATTGGATCCAAACACGTCAAGCCTCTACGCAAGAATAATTTGACTAAAAACAAACAAGCAATGGTTTCTCCAACATAAACAATGTGGTGACATAAACAATATGTCAACACAATCTAGATCCAAGTATTAAGTAACCCAAACCACCTTTAAACTATGGTAATCACACAAAAAACACGTTTGTTTGTTAATGTATATATAAACCATCTTCAAAGTTGATTTGTGTTGCAACCAATCTCTTCCTACTCAAATTTCACTAGAAAATCAAAACTAAGATTAAAAAAAATTCATCTTCATACATGAATCGTATTTTAACAAGATCTAAACATTAACAAAACTAGTCACTTGCCTTGGATGTAGGTGTGGGCGCGGATTGGTTCAAACTAAACCGGCCCAGCCTGCGTTGGGTCAAGACCTAGCACAACCAACAGTTTGTCGAGCCCAAACCGACTCGTGATATACCCAGTTCATGGGCCGGGTGGGTTCTACTCTAAACCAAGGGACAAAGAAGTAGGCCCGACCCACTCCCCCCCATCCCCCATGTTCAACCTGGCTCGACTAGCAATGTCCAGGCCGCCTTACATGATAGTTATACACTGATGTAATTTTAGTAGCAACTCAATTGAAAATTGCAGTTTTGGGGAATTTTAGCTGTAATTTTAGTAATAATAGAGATTTTTTGAACTCTATTCAGTATTTTAGTGAATATTTATAATCATAATGATTTACTAAAAACGTTCAAATTATTGTGAATCTTTTGTCATTTGAAATAATTTCATCAC